TCAATTATCGATGAAATTACATTGAAAGTGCTGCATTTTATTAGATTTTAAAGTGATTTGGGTTTCTACGGCTGCCCGATGTAGACGAATTGAAACAATAATACAGTATTTTGCTTAAACACGAACCATATAGGTCTTAAATTATAAAGTTGCAGAAAGCGAACGACATCGGCGTCGTGTGCGTTTGAATGAAAGTATACTAATACGAAATTCTTTATACGCCACGTAGCACAAAAATAAATTGTATTTGTATAATATAGTACCATGAATAATTTTAATTATTTTATAAATGAACTAAAAGACAGTACCGCATTGACGTATTGTAATTTTTTGTTTGGCTTGTGTATCATTATGGGAAAGCAATAATGGATCCAAGAGCAGAATATAAATGTTTATGATTTTTTAGACAATTTCACTTGAAAGATAATTAATTAATAAGGTATAAATATTCTATGGAACATACGGTGCAAGACAATTCAGTGTTACTAAAAATTTACAAATTACATTGAATTCAAATATTTTAAATGGTCACATTTCTGTTTTCCTTAATTACTAAATAACTATGTATTAGGTATTCGGATGCATTCCCAAAAAAAGTTTCAATTGTTGTCTTCCAAAGTAAAAAATAAGTTAAGTAATTTATATATTTATATTTACTAATGTAACCGTCCGATTCAATTTTCCGCTTGTGTAGGTAAGGATTGTTTTGCTTCTTCAATCCTAAAATCGGTCACGTCATAACCACAAGATTTTAATTTTACGCGTGCCTAATTCGTTTAACCGAAATTATCGTTGTTCAAGCTAAAATATAATCGAAAATACTTTCATTATAAATAGAATGTTTACAACTTCAAGCAGGGGGGGTAATAAAACGGCAAATCATGAATATTATTTCAAAATTTTTAATATACTCATACTATATGAATACATAAGATAAACAAGATTTTATATTCTTTATACGATCTTACGTACAGTCCGTTACAATATATTACTTTCTGTAAAACTATTACCTGAATATTGTAGAGAGGAGTGCAATATTCTCAAGCCATTAATAACTGAGATTTAATATTAATAATATGGTAGGAAAACTGATATATACAGTTTAATAAAATTTTATCATACTCCGACAGATATATAGATCTCTTACCACAAGTTTTAAAAGTCTTACTACGCAGATAGTTCATTGTTTTTCATTAATGTTCATGTGAAGAGATTAAACTTGTAATATACAAGTACATTATATTTGCCCACAAGATTCAGCTTACGTGTCTATGAATTATTAGTATGTTAAAAGTATGTAGATGCGCTTCAACTAGGGTAACAGGAACATTCATTTGCATTTATAGCATAGTGTTGTGCCAAAACAGTCAACTGTCTTTGTTGATTACATGGTGTTTTAATTTTAAATTAGAATCTTTTTCTTTTAAATTGCGTCCAAGACTTTTTCGCACTGTGTAGGTGTAACTAAATATGTTTAATCACAATTCATAAAAATACTCTTATATGCATACATCCTCCGCTATAATCATTTTGCCACGGAATAGAGCAACAGCCAACACACTGTCGCATGGAGCGGGGAACCGTCTAATTAATGCCAAATTTTTCTGTGTATGACTAGTGTACTCGTAATCTCTATTGTTTATTCAGAAACAGGCCGAATGAGTATTTCAAGAATTTGTAGTGGCTTTAAAAAGCCATCGATAAATACTGAAACAATCATAGTGTGTCATTCTATACTAGCCTATGAAATTAAGGAAAACCTGAATTAGGGTGAACTTTTCCGTGTTAAACGGTGGTTGTTGTCAATCCAGTACAGAAGATATTATCGGTTCCATAGCTCATTTCTTGTAAACATCATGTGACCTGTCCAGAACACGTTGTAGCATTCGGAGACCTTCAAATTTTTGTAGGAAAGTCTTTCAATAAGCACGCCCGTAATTTTCATAATTTAAACGATCTTTGTTTATTGTATTTTAAAGAATTTTAAGTAATCATATAAAATATTGGAATATAAATAAGTTATATAAAATGATACATAAATTTATTCTTATATATATTTTTTTTCAATATTTAAACTGTCTTGAATAAATAAATACATCTAATTCTGTCACTCGAAACAGAGAACCACATAAATTTTCGTGGATAACTTACATGAAATTGAGAACCTCCTTTTTATTGTCCACCTGAACTACTTTGGGAATGAACGATTCATTCTGTCAAGTGGGTACAGTTGTTTTTTAAGAACTAATAAATTTTGGTTTATGTGGAATTAATGATGTCATTCTAAACATTTTGCGAGATATTAAAAAACATGCCGAAATCGTATTCTCACTTACGTCCAGATTTGACTTATTGAAAATATGATTTATCACAAATGTTATAAAAATCTATGGACGTTCGTTGGTAATGTGGACAGGTACATACATATTTGTGAATTCCCCTGTCGTTGCATCGTCTTATTTACATTGTATGGCAAAATTGCCACCGCCATAATATAAGCAAATGTTGGCGTTTATTGGACTTTAGGATTTCTTAAACTTTTTTTTAACTTACATATAATATAGCTCAGTATTAGCCGCTTGCTCACTGGTAAGACAAAATACACTTTACTGTTACAAGAGGACTTACCTGCAGGTGCATATTATTCATTGTTTTCTATAAAGCCGAAAGAGCGAAATATGTTTAAACACGTCCTTTGTTTGCTAAATTAACTAAAAACACTTTTCTTGATCGTTTTAACTGATTTTCAAAAAGTAGGAAATACACCGCAATGCACATTAAAGTTTAGTTTTGTTTGGACATTGTTTTTTTTTTTTGAAACGTCATTTTAAATCTTAGAATTTTATGTTTCTAGTATATACGAGTTAGTCCATGACTCTTGTATTAGGACAAAAATAATATGAAAAGGCACAACAATTCCGAGAGGTGGGCTGAATAAGGCGTAATAGCATTACTTAGGTCAACTTTTGATAGTAGTGTCTCTGATTACAAAGCTAGTCTTTTCCCATGCCGATTCTATTTCATGGTAGAATAGGGATGTTAAATACACATGTATTTTTTATGATAAAGGTGGCAAACGAGCAGAAGGTCTACTTGATGGACAGTTATCACCACCGAACGTGGACACCCGCAACATCTCTGCTGCGGTTACATTGACACCCTTGGTTGTTGCGGAAGAGGGAGGGGAGGAACTAGGTGGCAGGAAAGGGAATAGGGAAAAGACAACCGGCTCTCTCACTCGTCGAACGGAAGAACGGCATTAAAGTCGGTTTCACGCCGATCTTCTTTAAGAGGGTGGTGCTTCCCCGGTCAAGTCAGCCAATGATCAAGTTGTAGCAACTGACCACAGCTAGGCTTTACCACCATAAAATGTGTTTTTAATAGTAGAAACTACTGATGAAATCGTTTCTTATATATAAGATTAAGTCAGTGGTAGCCTAGTGGTTAAAAGGCCCGCCTCTCATGCACGAGGGCGCAGGTTCGATCCTGGCCCTGGCAAGTACCAATGTAATTTTTCCGAGTCATATGTACTTTCTAAGAGTATTTAGACATCACTAATTAATGCATTCCCAAAGAGGGTTGATGTCAGGCACGCGGCCAGTCGTAAAAACAATTAGCCAAAACTATTCACAACATGTAAGGCAGACCCTGGCTAAAGCCGGGATATTGCCAGGTAGAAGAATATACAAGACCACTATATAGATACTTATTTGTCATTTGTAGGAAGAAGTAATATTTGATCTGGGATCACATATTCCAGTGCTGTTGAAACTTTCTTGACTTGGCGTGTCTGAATAATAAAAAGTTTAAGTACAGTTTATTTATTCAAAAATAAATACATCAATATGTCTTTATACAGTATAATATACAGCCGAAGAAACATTAAATACATACCATAACTATTTATACATAATTTGGTACACATCATACCTTGAGATCTCATTTACAAAAAAATATATAATTAGGTCTTTTAATAGTTATTATAAGACAAAACTTTCATACCTGTATTATTCCTATTAAAAAAAAATACAATAAAACCTATTTAAAATTTTATTTAATATTTCAAAAATGTTCTATTAAATTAAGAGATTATTGGTTGATAGTTAATTTAATTAATTTAACAAGTATCATAAGTGATTTAGCACATTAAGTAATAAAATATTATTATATTTTATTTGATTATATGTAGTATTATACACTTGCAACATATTTTAATAGATTGAAAGTTTGATTTGAAATTTACTAGTGAATATCTTGATTCATACACTTAGTGCTATATATTTTTAATCTAAGGATATGAATAACACAGTTATTGGTCTCCCTAAATAAAAATAATACTTAGTCCCCTTCGAAAGATCTCAAGTTAAGTATCTTAGTATAAATAGGCAGAAATAGTTTGAAATCTATATTAAATTCATTCAAAACATCTATTACCTGATCATGAGTTACAATTTTTCTCTTAAAATTCAATTCAATGCAATCTTTACTACATTCATAGAATTAATTAGACCCATAAAATTTCACAAACTGTCACAAACAATCATTCTCACAAGAAATTTCATTAACTTTTAAATATTTTAGTTATATCAGAATGTATTGTTATAAGATATGCAAAAATGTTACTACAAACATTTAGAAATTAATATTTCTGATACACAAATACTTAAATTCTAACATGATTAAATATTTTAAAACAAATAATAAATATGTAATACAACAGATTCATACAATTAATTGCTATGCTCAAAATAAAACATCGTTTAGCCAACTACTAATTATATCTTAAAATAAAAATAATTAATCAGTGCGTCCGAACCACATTTTAAATACCACAGACAAAGTTAAATAAACTGAGATAAAATTTGAACTCTATGAATACTTGAAATTGATGTCCAATCATTGTTTTATAAGATTTATGGCATAGTAGATCAGTTCACAGTCTTAGTCATAGCACACATTAGCAAGAATATAATGTCCACACAAGCTTAAAATACAGCTAGTTATAGGAGTGATTGTTCAACCATAATCTTTTCATATCCCGTCGGTGGAGGGTATCTGAAGTTGTCAAGGATTATGTCCAGGATTGCACCATCATCAACTGAAAAAAATATTAAATTCTATTCAAACAATATCTTAACTATGACAATAAAACAGAACATGTTAAATAATAACCACAAAGGAATATTAATTTCTTTTACAAATCTCCATTAAAACCACATCCATTACTAAACGAAAACTATTAATAATATGTTTACTTCAAAAAAGAAGAACAGAGACTAATTGATACATTTGAATAATTATCAATAAAGATTTACTGACCATAAAGTGCAGGGTACACTGTTCCCTTGATTTGTCTCACTGGTATTTCCATATTCTTTCCATTAAGGAAAAAGTTCATCTCCACATGATCATATGCTACTCCGATAACATCACCCTCCCCGGGCATAGCTGCTGACTTCTCATTAGCTTTTTCACTGTCCGTTTTGTCATTAACTTTATCCTCGGTATGATTGGGTGACCCAGTAGTGACTAGGATCTCTGTAGGTGACTCCTGACTAGCTGGTTTGAGGTGGTAAAGCTCAACATTATCATGCCTAACTGTACCGTCACTGTTCAAACACCAGGACTCTTTGTCTACACCACCTGGAAATTAAATCAAAGATAACTATAGTAAAACTTATAAACTTACAATATAATCATCGTGAATATTTCTGACAATTTTCCTCTTAAATGGTTTCAAGCTCAAATCCTTAACACTTTTCAGTGAATATCCTGTTTTGGATCATTGTAAGAACAACAAGGTCAATTTTTCTCGAAGAAAAACCACAGTTGCCATGTTTAGAATAACTAATGCACTTGCATAATTTGACCCACTTGTGCTTTCTAAATTTGGATGTGAATGAAAACAATGTAAATAAATTGTGTCATCACTCAATGTTGGGGTTATATTGATCATGTGATTGTTCGACAATGACCTGTACAAATATTGCATTGCGAATATTAAGTCAATTCCGACAGGGTCAAAATCTTTACAATTTTGTTCAGTAACAGAACACTAACAGATACATAAATTTTTGTTGAAATTATTGTACAACAGGATTACTATCATGATTTCTAAACACAAAGTTGCAATTTCTATAAAGAAATATTGATTTTCGGTTTCATTTAACAACTGGAATCTCACAATCATGTTCACTTAAGTTTTATTAGAAAATTATAATACATGAACTTTTATTGTTAACCATTTTAATTATTATTTCCTACTTATACTATTCTTTTATCATTGTCAATAGTTACATACTGAAACATATATAAAAAAGCTGACCATGTACTCTATTGAGGTCTGCTTCCCTGGTTGCAAGTCCCACCGCCCACACCCCACCCTGCTGCAATTTGACTTCAAAATAGGCTTTGTTCTGAACAAGTGGTGCATTGCCAAGTGCACAGCCGGACCCACAAACACGCTGGCCTCCTTTCACTATGACTATTTCATGTCCTGTAATTTTTAACCCCAATTAAGTTCTCGATTGAATAATTTCTAAATTTCGATAATTGGTATTTAGTATATTTTTTTAATTGCACTAAACTTCACGGCGCGAATACATTAAATCAATATATTTTCGCATTTCTTAAATTCACACCTACGCAAACCAAAATATTATCGTTTTCTTTGACTCCAACTTAATAAAATTTATGGAGCAATACCATTTTAGGATCAAAATGACGTTATAACATCAACATAAATATTTATGTCTGGGATATTCTAAGCGCATTTCAATATAATAATTTTATTACCCATATGTAAAGAATCTAACTGCACTGGATTACTCTTCACACGTATAGGAACAGTTGGCGTTAGAGAAAAGCCATTAACGCAATTTTTTAAACAGCAAAACATCGTAGAAACACGAAAATCTGATATTTTAAAAAATCAATAACTACCAATGTTTTATTTTTAACAAAAACTGAAACTATTTACTTCGGTTATAGCAATAAACGTCACTTTCATTTGACATCTGTAAGTTTTATGAATTGCAATGACATGTTCGTCTTTTAATTGAAACCTAACCAGTTGATTAAATGATACATATTAAATTGTAACAAAAAATTAAAGAATATTTATAAATATTACAAAGATATATAAACCGTTCCGTGTAGAAATTATTGCAGCACGTTTTATTAGTTTTCAGCCACCTCATAATGTTGAACTTAACGTTTCAATCTACGGTTTCAATTTATCGTTAAAAGTTGATTTTAACGTTTGCATCTATGATTTAGTTTGTAAACAACCTTTCAATTTCCTTGTGAAAAGAAGTCCTCTCAAAAAGGTCAACGGAAAAATACAAAGCTATCAGTAAAGGATTAGTTTTTTAATTCAGTCTCTCTTCTTTTTTATAAGGTTGTACAGTAAATTATGACCATCTTTATTTCAATCATAAAAAAACAGTTGACTGTTTTATGTTTAAAAATTAATCATATACACATACATATCGCTATAGCAAAAATCTTATCTAATTCTAGTATTGTAAAAATTCTTGTGAGTACGTAATAAAGACAAATATCACGTAATGTGTATATATATGTGTGTGTGTTTGCTTGTTGTAATTGGATCTTGTTTAATTTTGCTCATTTAATGGAAAGTGACAATAATCTTCTAAAAATGAAGAATGAACTTAACAATTATACAACAATACGTTCTTTTTTATAAATTAGTATTAATGTATAACAATGAATGAGCTAAGAGGAAATCTTACATTTAAGTCCATTTAAATATCCTCTAAACCTTCTTAAAATAAGCTGTCAGTGGAATATTTTACGCCTGTGTCCTTTTCAAGTCTCGTATCTATGATAAGAGAAAAAAATATGTTATCCTTATTGAGCATCACTATATTTCGGTTAAGAATAGAACTTGTTTTTATATGTAATAAAATCATAACATTTTATCTAACAGCAGGTCATTGACTATTTTAAAACTTGTTTTTATTTTTATAAACTGTTATAATACCGTAAAAATATAAAATATGACTATTGTATTGATATGCCTCGGAATAATCATTTCTGACTTCTAATAATGTCAATCTCTCTGATATTTCAATTATTTACAAAGAATTAGCTGAACAAACGTAAACTATTGACCGGATTATATAAATATTAGTACACTCATATGACCGAGTAAATTGGACCAACGATATTTGAATATCTAATGACATTCAAAATTTAAAAAAAAAAGTGTAAATTATCTCACATTTTATTTTATCTATTTATTGAAGCCAAATTTTTTTTTGGTAAGGTAATATTTTTAACGGTCCAATAATAACAAAAAGGAAGATTTAATTTTAATTTAGAATTTTTGTTATATGTTTCTTTAAGTTTGTCTTTAAAAAATATTTACTTTCACAAGTATTCGCTGTTTAGGATTTTTAGTTGTATAACTGCTTATTTATGTTGATGCTTGTTTAATTTTTATCACAACTATTTTATCAATACTATTTTACAACATTATCATATCATTTTTTTTATACTGCTATTTATACTACAACGTTCTAGTGTACAACGATCTGGTGTAAAACTGAAAATACTTTTAATAAATCGGACATATCTAATCTGATGAGTCCTTCCGTAATGTCGTCGAATTTGAGTAAATTAAAAAATAATTTATGAAGCATTCAAACTGTTAATATTAATAAAGGAAGATAAACTTCTATAAGCCATTAGAAAACTATTATCCCAAACATCTTCGCTAGTATGCTGGCTGCAAATTTATTTTGGTACCAGAAAGTAGGAAAAAACATGTGACATAACTTTACTTCTACTACGTGTGTTTCTAAGAAAATATTAAGAGACGTGGCTTTGGATGAATACAAAGAGAAATTAAGTTTCGGTGTTTTCCTGTTAATGTACTAAACCCTAAAAATCTCGAGTAGTGCTGTATTAACTATCAAAATAACAGTTTTTAAAAAACTATAGTCAGAATATCATACAGGAATCATTTTTAGTGTAACTATACTATTGAATACTGTATACTTAGAGTCCAATTTAGCATTGTCAAGCTAAGTACGGAGCGGTGACAGTTTTGTCATTCATAAATTTTCGCACATTATAGTATTAACGTAAGTTATTAAATAAGAAATGGGAAACTCATATGTAGTGTGACTATACAAACTTGAACTAATACACAATATTTAAATGTAACCGATATTAGTTACATTAATTTAAAGAATTAACTTTGAAATGTACCTACTTACAACTTAACAACAACATCTCATAGAAGATCATTATGAAACACTAGTAGTCGATGAAGAATTCGTTTGTTTCTTAAGAATAAAACTCTAATCTTCTTATCTTATACTTTCTATATTCTTTGGACTTAAGATTCTATTGTAAAACATCTAAAGTAGTAGTTACAAAAATCGATTACCAGTAGCCAAATGAAATCACAGGCTTATTTATACATATATCCCTACAAATATGTATTAGGTATAAATGCGAAAGTAACTCTGTCTGTCTGTTACTCTTTCACGCCTAAACCACTGAACTGATTTTAATGAAATTTGGTACAGAGATAGTGTTGACCTTTAGAAAGAACATAGGATAGTTTTTATCCTAAACTTTTGAAAGGTTCTCTTGGAAACCCGATATAACCGAACTCCACGCGGGCGAGCTGTGGGCGGAAAGCTAGTTTACTATAAATTAAACCATATAGTTTACAGAAAGAAAAACATTTTTTTTTTCTATTAATAAGTACCTTCTATGAACAACAAAGAAACATATTGCTTAAAATTACTTTTTTTTTATTTACAATAAGCACACTTACAACATACATATTGAAATTTTATTTTAATAGTTTATTTTTATAGTAAACTCAAATAAGAATGTTAGCAATAGTTCACGATATCTTTGTTGTAATTTCTAACCTCATTGAATTGTTCAATTGAATATAATATTGAGATACAGAGCCGTTTTATCCATTACGCATTATAGGCAACTGCCTAGGGGCCCTGCCACGTTCAGGGGCCCCTGTGCTACAGGGAAAAGAATGGGCAATGTTTCTTAAACAGTGAAAAATTTATTTGAAAATTTGCTCTGTACATTACATCGACGCTATTTAAGTACATTTCGGAACGCATTCCTTATTAGATATTATTATTATGATTATTATTATAGTTTCAAAGTTTATAACGCAGTAATATAATTGCAAGCAATTTTATCGCGGTAATTTAATTAAAAACGCTCAAAACTCTTTGTTGTGAATGCACACTTACTATACTGGTACCTACCAAGTATGTGTATTCTATGACCAAGCTACTTTCATAAGGTTAAATTCATTGTCTATAATGGCAATTGAAAATGACGTGTTGGAGAAGATTACCTTTCAGGATATGTTGAAAAAAGTAAAAAGAGTTAATATTTAAGCTATGTATGTTTTTTTTTAAATGCATAAATAAACATTGTGTTCATTTGATTCAACATTTTTATTGAATAATATGATGATATACCCAGGTTAGTAAAAAACGGTGTAATTTTGATTTTTGTTGTGTTAACGAAAAAATTAGAAGAGGGCCCTGGATGAGCATTGCGTAGGGGCCCCGACAGGCATAACCCGGCCCTGTTGAGATAAGACGTTTTATTAAAGTAAGAGACAATTTTGTTTTCATTTATCCGTGTGAGATCCAAAAGCATTATTTTTACGTCATTGTATGACACATAATAACTCCACTAATAGTATTATGTAGAATAAATATTTGTAATTTTTGAATAGGATGACACAAACTGATTATAACCAATCATTATGTTTATATAGTATCCTTAACTACATGCATCGTCACACTATATACGTAGCGTTTCCAGTTTTTTCTATATAAATATTCTCGTAAAGTATTAAAGTAAGTTTTTATGAGAGCTGTAAACGCTGTATACTAAGTGTTACGATCCAAACTAGTGGTACGGGTAAGGATAGTATAATAAACAGTTTGGAAAACAGATTAATATGTCAGTAAAACGTTGATCAATTATTAAATTTATATCAATTCCAGCGTTTAACACTTCAACCATGTAGAATGTATTAAAATAAATATGAAAACTAAAAATTTTTTAAGCTCAAAAGCTTTCAATTGTTCGCCATATTCTGACTCGTCCAGTTACAATCATAAATTCACTAAATCACTAAGAAATGGAATCTTACACTTTTAAATTACATATATGTATATGTATGTAAAATAATATAAATAGTTTTTATAAATCTTTTTGTTTCGTAAATGTTTTTCACCGGCAGAACCTTAGTTTATTACCTTATTTATACATACAGACAATAAACTCAAATAAAACAAGATTAAAAAATACAATTAAAGCGATATCGTACTCAAAGCCGAAGAAAGCCAGCAAAAACGAACGACGTTTTAATACTTAGACTTAGCAACAGCAACAGTAAGCTTATAACTTATTACAAGTTTATATCGTCGTAGAACAACCAGACCTTTTATATATTTTCAGTCACAAATATTCACAAATTATAATATTTACATAGATTATTGAATGAGAAACGCGAAACACTTCGTATGTAGTATGACGATACAGTGTTGTGGTAAGCATGCAGAATATTCTAGTAATTACAATTTATAAGATTATCACGTTTACACATTAGAATATAACTATTTTTTTTTAAATGACTTTCGTTTTTAATTCACATATGACCATTGTTAGCACGAGATGATATTAAACGATACTTTCATCTCAACTTCCCGTAATCGCGGTTGATGTAAACCTACCGAAAGTTTGTGTATAAAATAACTTATATTAAACAATTTATTCAATGAAATAAATTAAATTAAATTTCTCTAAATGAAAAAGTAATTAACGTTATAAGTTCCTTAATTTTTTTGAAAATTACACGACAACTTTTTTTTTTATTAAAAAGCAATTTGTATTTTCAGCCAGCAATATTTTTAATTATTTTTTTTTCTATGCATTTCCTGATTGTAAACTTAGTCAGTCAGATGTAGTCGCTTCGTAAACAATGTTTTGGATGTAAGTAATAAGAAATATTTACCCCATAGGGTTTTGGACGGAGATCCGGCGTGAGTTGCCTCAATATAAGACGTTGGCTGTGAGCACGCGCATCAGTTAGTGAAGAGCCGACAAGCGAGTACAATACCGTAAGTACAACTGATTTCTTTTTTTTTTATTCGATAAACGTCCACAAACCTTTGTTTTAGAGCCTAATACCAAAATATAAGTCGATTTATTATTTAATATTGGTTTTTTAACATATATTTTTTGTTTTACCAAACGTGGATGTGAATAAAATTTACGAAATGAACTAATAAGTACATTATTATGTACAGTTTAACATAAAAATTTGCCGGCTTTCTTAAATATTCAAAATATGATTAAAATCTATTTCATGATCTCAGTTATAGTTTTGTGCTAAGAATCATTGTACTTAATTGTTACATTTTTATTTTTAAACCAAAATCTGCTAAAAATTAAGTCTATTATGCCTTTTTATCCTTAACATTATATTTTTGTTTTGTTTTAATAAAATATTTATAATAAAACAGTATTGTCCTATAATTACAATGACAGTTTTAAAACTGCGACTAAGTTTATTTTAACTCAGTATTTTTTAACATTCCCTGTATAATAAAAAAAAAACTTTAAAAATACAAAAATATATACTATTAAGAATTTTCGTTTGCCTAATAAAAATAATAGTTTATTATTTTAAGATAAGACGAAACGAAATAAAATTAATTTGGTTAGAAATATAGTTAAATATTATGTATGTAACAAAATTAATCCATGCAAATTATATTCAACTATCTCGTTTATGGGAAATCTTAAATCGAAACACAACGAATATCGACCTCTGAGGTCAAACTGGAGTGGAACGAACTTCTTAAGGGCAAGGTCACTTTCTACAGCCCTAGAACCGGTAATATTTGAGACAACCGCATCACGTAATCAATTGTAAGCAATTGAATGGAAACTGCTTATAAACAACGTGCCGCATCTTCCTCGTGAGAACTAAATAGTGAATAAATTAAAGAAATGTAGACTTGTAGAACTTTTATAATTCTTATTTCTTACATAGTCATCATAATAGAAAAATATTTAAAACTCTATTGTGCAATGTTTTTTAATTGAACAGGATATAAATTAAGGTCAAAAGATCTAAATAGGAATTTAAAAAATGTGTGAGTGATCTGATATTGTGATGACTTTGATGCACATCAATTTTTTTCCTAATTAAAATACTGACCTATTGCAAGCCTTGACATTCACTTTCCAAATAAATATGAAGAATTTATTATTAAAGATTTCATCTTATATCGAGTTAAACACCACAAAATTAACTGGAATTAAATTCTGAATAATAATCTTTTTGTAAATATTTTAATCTTTACCATTAATAAGCATCTTTATAGCTCGTTCGATGACCGTCAGAGATTAAATATCGAATTTTATTATGACAGTTATATCTGAATGAAATCAACAATTAATTTTCGTAGGTAAAAGATTGAAGCGGATATTGAGAAAAAGTTTCAATATAAAGATGAAAAATATTAAGAATGAATTTATAAATTTTATTAAAATTTTTGTCGTTTTGTTTCAGACGATGAAGGTTTTATTATTATTGTCAGCACTGGCGGTCGCGCATGCGCAGTTCAACAATGGACGCATCCTTGAACCTCCAGTTCCCGCCCAGTGCGTTCAACGCATCATCCATGAAAGATACTCCGACAGTAAGTACTAACACCTTATCATCTCAAATATGAAATATTAGATTACAATGTTTGTTACTACAAAAATGCGTGGTCTATGACCCCTTTATCAATAATTCTTAATGGTAATGAATATTAGGAATGCATATACGCATACATTTTTAATAAAATCTATAAAACAATTAGATGTATTAACAAATACTTCCTAAATTAAAGATGGTACATGTGTCGTAGATAAATTATGTTGTTAATGTGTGAGACCTTATTAAGTCGATTAAGATTGTAATATTTAAATTAATTAAATTATTTAAAAAGAATAAATAATTTATGCATAAAATGTTGTCAATCTATTGTGTTCGTACTGAAATAACTGACTAAAATTCATATTATTAAAATTCTACTTCAACCTAATGATGCTTATCCTTGCCGTGACGAGCTCTGATAAATATGTTAACCAGTTTCTTAACGGTGTTTGTCTACTGCTTGGTACTCAGTTGCACACTGATAGCTGTAAGATTTAAAGAAATTTCCTTACTAAACGAAAACACTTACTTTAATGTTAAATATACGTGGATCTCCTCTTAAAATTAGTATTTTATTCTAAGTATATGTCCTCTTAAATTACGTCTTTGGTTCATGAGTAACATAAAAATATATAATGTTACTTTTTAATTAATTGATCTATAAATAAATATTTAAATTGTAAGTAAGGCAATAAAATATATAACGAAAGGAAACCATTTGAGACAGATTACTAATTTCAACTCACTCTTCGTAGCCCGGATAGCTCAGTCGGTAGAGCATTGGACTTTTAATCCAAGGGTCCAGGGTTCAAGTCCCTGTTCGGGCGGTCTACGTTTTTGATAAATTCACATAAAATTGAATGAAAATCTCAATTTTTTACTTATTTAACTTTCTATTAATTTATCGATATAAAAATGGCAATGTTATTTTGGATAGTAGCATTAAAAGAAATGACGTAATAAACATACGAAATTATTGTTTATATCTTCCATTAATTATTGAAAGTTATTAATATCTTCAAAATTCTCACAATTTCTGCGATATTACGTCGTTAAAATGCGGTATTTTTTTGTTGATACAATGATCGATTCTTTTTTTATAACAAGCGTCTGTCAAAACTGTTATTTTACGACTGGAAAGTTTTATTTCATTGATGCTATCTTTTTAATATTCTTTATTAACACATTTTACTAAATTACAACATCAATATAGCCAGTTAATTTCTTTTTAACATGCTCACTTTCCTCATCAGATAAGGGTTACTATTTCTCATGGAGGGATCCCGCAAAAAGAGGAGTTGAAGAAGACTGGCTGAGCGCTAGAAACTTCTGCAGACAGCGTTGTATGGACCTAGTCTCCTTAGAAACCAGCGATGAAAACGAATGGGTGAAAGCTCGTATTGTTCAAGATAAGGTAATAAACAAAAGTAAAATTCACCAAACGATATCAAAGTTACATAAACTAAATTTAAAACCTAGATTTAATCTATCACAATATAGTCTTTAGATTTAAAGTCTTTGTGTGTTTTAATAGCAGATTACGTAATGCCACTGATCAATTTTATGATACTTCCTGCTTTTGTCTTTACAGTGCTCGAATTTTTTTGGATCTAGATAATAACTATTGTTCGTATAGACAAACGGTGTATTGTCCTTGACCACTTCTCTATTTTAGATAAAACATCCAAATGAAAGTCGGTCAGATATAACGATTACCACCATAATACAAAGTTTGGCAAACATTACTCATTGTTAACCTGAAAAGTTTATTTTTCAACCACCAAAACCAAATATTAGAAAGTGTGTCTGGCATTCAAATATTAGTACGTGCCTGTTTTCAGTAATCGAGCTCTTATTATCAGTAGCATGTGTTGAATGAGACAAACTTTTATTGTCATTCAAGGCATATTGTTAAAACAATGGACAATTTTCTATTACCAAGTTTCACTTCACATATAGAGTAAGTGAAAATAGTTTTTCATAACGTGAGAAAACTTTGAACATCAAAGTTGATTGCGTTCTCGTTATCTGAATTATATCTATAAACCTACATTTCATATTATTACATCTATAAAATAGGAATGATTTTATATGATTTTTTCTCTCACAAGACGACATCAGACAAATACACCTTCGCAAAATAGCTGATAGAAAATGAAACTGTCTTATTCTCTTATATATTACTCGTAAACAATACAAAACATGGCGACTACATCGAAATACACCTTTGCAAACCAGTACACAATAGATAGGTACATATCTACTCTTATATAGTACCCGTAAATGTAGCTTATTTATTCACTATCTCCATCTATCTCTAGATCAAATACATCTGGACCTCCGGCCGTCTCTGCGACTTCAAAGGCTGCAACCGACCCGACCTACTGCCCAACGAAATCAACGGCTGGTTCTGGACAGCAGAGCTCCAGAAGTTGGCTCCCACAACCAACAGGCAACAAAACGACTGGTCAGAGGGCGGCGGTATTGGAAAACCACAACCCGATAACCGGGTATGTATACCATAAGAACTTATCAATAACTAGCTGCGCTCCGCGGTGTTACCCGCGGATATATATAGCCTGTGTGTTATTCCTGGACGTCAGCTTCCTGTATACAAAATTTTATCAAAATCAGTTCAGCCGTTTGAGCGTGAAGAAGTAACAAACATACACACACAAACTTTCGCAATTACAATATTAGTAGGATTATTTCATACAACGGAAATGTTATAAACTATAGGTACCTACATAGAACATTAATTTCAGCCCCAATGTAAAATAGATATCTTATTTCAACTTACTAATGCAAGTATTTTCAACCTTACGCGTACAAAACAAAAACATTAGCATTAAAACAATTAGTCACATTACCTATACTAGTATTCGTGTTACGTAACGAAAACTGTACATTGAGTATGTAATATTTGTCAAAACCGCGACAAAGAGGATAACGCTAGCGAAAAGGAAAGCAGCGGTAATATACATGCGACTGCGCAACGTCAGCCGAAGGGCGTACCCGCATGCTTCCGATACCAACCCACTTTCTACAAACAACCTGTACATAACAAAAGCTCATCGATATTCCGCGTACGCGCCGCATAATGTCACCGCTTTCGCCGATTCATACACGCCGACACGTAATATTCCCCGGATCATCTGCATCCGCCATTACAAGATTATACGTTAAATATTCAAGGCCTCACGCGTTACGTAACTATCTGTCATCGTTTTTTCTCCTATACAACATCACTTACAATTAATGATTATGCGTAATTCCTTCCTTTAAGAATAATTAAATTTCATGCCATAGTATTTAGTCGCGTAAACCTTATTAAATACCAAACGATGATAATCGATTATTTCCAGGAATTGCAACAAGGCGGCGCCGCGGAACATTGTGTAGCTATCTTAAATAACTTCTACAACGACGGAGTGCACTGGCACGATGTGGCTTGCCATCACCGCAAGCCTTTCGTCTGTGAGGAAAACGACGCCCTACTCAAATACGTCAGATACACCAACCCAAACCTACGCGTCTAATTTATACCAATAAATTATTTATTCAATAACCAGTAATAAATAAATTTCATTCTCAATGTCTTTAAATAACAATAGTTTTAAAGAATACATATTAGATGTAAGTATTACCTCATTTATTTATGTTAGTGAATGGTAGTCTCTATCCACTTGTTAAGATGATTAATTTAAAATGTGTAAATAAAGACTGCTTCAAAACTATTCTACTCTTATTACCCATAAAATCAACTCCTATAATAGTAATGACATTCCAGTATATTCTTAAAACATTATTTGAACCTGAATTTTCTTCTTCTATCTGGCAATTTCCTAGCTTTAGCCAGGGTCTGCCTTACATGTTGTGAATAGTTTTGGCAAATTATTTTTACGACCGGCCGCCTGCCTGACATCAACCCTTTTTTGGAAATGCCTTAATCAGTGATGTCTAAATACTCTTAGAAAAGTACATATGACTCTGAAAAATCACATTGGTACTTGTCTGGGTCAGGATCGAACCCGCGCCCTCATGCATGAGAGGTGGCCCTTTAAAACAATAGGCCACCATTGACTATTAGGTATTTGAACCTGAATTTTATTATGTAATTATTTTTTTATTTCTCCACAATAATCATTTTTTTTTCAGGGAAGTATGCTCAAAGGAGTTTATTAAAATAAAACTAATGTATTGTAATAAATTGTTTTTATTTACATGGCAGTTAACTTACAATTTTATGATGCAGAACTCATTTTAAACTTATATAAAATTCTTCTGGATGGAACTTTTCTAAACATTATGAACCAAAGGCAGATGTTACAGAAATATATGAGTGAGAGGAGCATTGTTATATGCATCAGCCGGTAAAGACGTAGGAAACTCAGCTTTAATCCAAAACTGTAAATATAATTATTGTTAGAAGTTTGGACCACAAACCCTCATAGTTATTTATTAGTTTCAGTCTATCAATTAAATTTATATACATATATTAAAAAAATACTTAAAAACACTATTTTTAGTCAAACAAAAGTTTTAAATGCAATATGTTTAAAAATCCACATCCACACTTTGCAAACAATAACAATTATATTATTGTATATGTTAACAGAAGTGTATGTAATCCATCATTGCATAAAATTCCTAGGAAATGTAAATAATTCCTAAAATCGTGTGGAAATGTGCGAAGTAAATTATATTATAGACACATTTCTTAGGAAATATATATATTTCTTAAATAACAATCGAAAATGTAAAATATTTGAAGTATTAATGGGTATGCGGGGACAATGGTATGGGTGGAGAGGTGGGTTAAGTTTGGTTATATTTTACGATATATCCATTACTCGATTGTCTCAATGAGTGCTAATACAAAATATAATTCTCATGTTATTATTTATTACATTAGTATTTTATTACAGAAAGCAGTTACTTTATAAATTTCTCAATAGGATATTGGAATTGCATACAATTCCGAGGTAACTTAAACATATCGTAGCATTTGCTTTTTATGTTTTTCAAATGTATTCTCAATAAGTGTTATAATAAAAAATATTATTGACAACGTCTTTAATTACAGAAAGCGTTTACTTTATAGTTTTCCTAATATAATATTGGAATTATATACAACCAGCTTTCCGCTCCCAGCTTCGCCTGTGTGGAGTTCGGTTATATCGCGTTTCCAAAAGAACCTTTCAAAAGTCTGGGATAAAAACTATCCTATGTTCTTTCTCACGGTCAACTATATGGCTGCACTAGATTTCATTTAAATCAGTTCAGTGGTTTAGGCGTGAAAGCGTAACAGACAGACAGAGTTACTTTCGCATTTATAAAATTAGTAGGGATTCTGAGATAATTTATACATTTCCTAGGATATCTATGCATGAAATAGTTTTTCAGACAATATTTTATACATTTCTTAAGTAGTATTTAAATTGTACACATCTCCTAGGATTTGTATAGAATTCCTAGATTTCATATATTTCCGGTAACATATATATAAATATTAAAACAAAAACTTACTCTCTATCATCATAACTATTGACACTAGAAACAATTGAAATATTTGATCTCTGAGGGTCAGGTAAAATAGAGAAATCCTTATCAAACTGTTCCTGCAAACAGCATATCCTCTCCATGATAAATAGCAAAAGTATAGCCCAGAAGTATTCAAATTCAAACATTGTCTTCTTCATTTCTTTCCTTCAACCATTATAATATGATATCCAAATTTAGTTTTGATTGGGGGGTCTGTGTAAATTGGATTGGTGACCGATGATATTGGCAAGGCAAATGCAGCATCCTGGAAAGGACCCACCATGGAACCACGCGTCATCCAGCCCAGATCACCACCTTGCCTTGCTTTATCTTCACTATATGCTGCCGCTACATCAGGAAATTTTTGGCCTGCCTTTATCTTTTCTAAAGCTTCTAAGCACTTTGACTGTTTTTCGCACAATATATGCCTGACTTTGACAGCTGTTCCTCCTTTTTTTTCTTTAGCTGCTGATTCTAAATTCAAATTTAAAAAGTATTAATTAATTAATAACCTATTGTTAAATATTTGGATTAAATTGTCTAATAATGGAACTGTTTATAGAATATTTTTATTTTATAATTATCGTTAAAAATATACATGTATTAACCTTTCGCATCCCCGCTTGATTTTCCACCACTATTTCCTTTTCCAGCTCCGCCGGACTTACCACCTTTATCAGTTTTTTTTGGTGGCATTATATATGTGTCAGAAATATTATAAATTAACCTTAAATTATATTGCAATTTAACCAAATTAAATATATTTTAATTGTCCTTGTAGTCATATGCACATTGACCTATGCAACGACTAACGTCAAAATTCATACTGACAATTGAACATATTAAGCGTTAAAGCTTTATAGACTTTATTACTCAGAAAATAACGCGGAATATTTAAAAACGGATATGTTATTGTCCATGCTTTGGGATAGATATGAAATAGTTTGAAATAAAAGAAAAAATCAAAGATCAAGTTAAAGTTAGCAGTATATTTCTTCAAATTTAATTAGTGGAAATTAAACATTGAAACTCGAATACATACAAATTCTGTAAATTGCCAAGAATGTAGTAAATTTTCATGTTTGATCACCACCATAAGATTATTTGTGTCTGTACTGCTTTAAAGATACATATATATTTTTTTAAATCCTTCCACTCTCCTCTTAATGATATAGAGAATTACCTCTATTATATTAAAACAAAGGTAAATGACAGAGTGTTACACGTTTTACTAAAAGACTGGACTGGATGCCTGCAGTCTAAGAGTGAAAAGGCTTTTGCTGTACAATGGCTACTATAATGAAAATTCTGATTATAATGAACATTCGTTGAATAAAAAGCGGGTGCACATTTTTCATATTGCAATTATTAAAAAGACCTTGGATATGCCTCTATGCTTTCAAATAATTGTTTCAAGTAAAAATTTAATTGATTAGAGAAGATATTGTAATTTAAAGAATTGTACAGACTTTATAATTATTATATAGACAAGGTCTATTTATACCTTCATAGGTTTAATCTGTTAAGTTATTATGTTGATAAATCTTATGTCAAAATTTGATCAACGACAACAACTGAATATATTTTATTAGTATAAGTATACTCATTTTCTAACATTACAACAAAACATTTAAGAGTTTGATTATATCAGAAATATGTTATTATAAGCATCTTTATTATAATTTAATCTTTGGTTCAAAAAAACAGTGACGTTATGGCGTTCAGACAATAAAGTGGAACAACAGTGACATACTATGTTAATGAAATTTTGACACAGAAGATTTCATTTTTAATCACAATGGGGATTATGTACGAGAAGAGACCTTTGAAAAGGCCTCGGCTGGGGCCTCCTGATGTCTATCCTCAAGAACCACGACAAAAGGAAGATGAACTCACCTCAGCCAATGTAAAACACGGATTTACGACAACCCCTCAATCTAGTGATGAATTTGGTACTGCTAGAAACTTTAACTATTCCGCATCGAAGGTAACGTATTTCTCTTTTATCTTATGATAAATCTAAATATAATAATAGCTCATTCCAAGCGCAATTTACAATTTGGTAGATTGGACAATTCTTCTCTGGAATATTGTCCAAGAAGGAGGAACTGAACACTCTACCTGATTGTGGGAGAAAGAGACAGCAGGTTAACCCCAAGGACAACTTTTGGCCAGCAACAGCTCGTACTAAACCACAGATTGAAGCATGGTTCAAGGATTTAGCTGGTAAGATTCATAGCAGCTATTTCTGTTTGGATACAAAATTGTTTGTTACACAATTTTTCTTTCTTTAGGTAACAAACCTCTATCACAACTTGCAAAGAAGGCACCCAATTTTAACAAAAAGGAAGAAATATTCATAACATTGACTGAGTATCAAGTGGCCATGCCAAGAGCTGCCTGGTTTATCAAACTCAGCTCAGCTTACACTGTTGCAGTGTCTGAGGCTAAAATCAAAAAGAGACAACTTCCAGATCCAACTACTGGTAAGTTCTGTAAATAATAATAATATTATATATTCCCTAAAGCTATTTCTGTGATTAAAACATACATTTGTAACAAAGTTTCTGTATTTCATTTCCCAATTAGCCTTATTTAATACCTAATGATTAAGTCATGAGATGTGGTTGAAAGAAGTGTAATTCTCTCCTTATAAAATTCAGTTAATCTCCTGTATTTGCAAGATATATCACTCATTATATTTTCTTGCCCTTTAAGGCCATACATTAATTTATTCATTTAGTGTTATAAGCTACATGTGTTATTAATTTTTCAGAATGGACAACAACCTTGATTAAGTTCCTAAAAGACCAAATACCAAAGTTAGCAGAACATTACCAAAGTGCTGTACCTGGTAGCATATCTGATAAGACCCCTCCATCACAATCAGGTATTTAAAGACAATGACATACTAAACAACTGCAATTACAAAGAATAATTTTATCACTAATGAAATCCTACTTTAAAATGCATAAAAAGGCTTACATCACTTGTATTCTGAGGTTATTTGTTATTTTATGTTTTTTCTCAATTGTAATTATCATTAGCCAATATAAATTTAATTTACTTAAAGAGTTGTGAACATATATGTATGTGTATTTCTGTTTGACAAGGTCAAGGCACGCCTAGTCACAGCTGTTTAGGAAATCCACCAGGAGGGTCTACACCAAATAGCTCATTGGTGCCAAATTCCATGCACTCACCAGGTAATCTGAGCGGTGTGAGAATTATTATAATTTATGAAGAGTATATAGAGTATAACTACTACATATAAATGTATATGTGTTTTTTTGTTCTTTAATATTAAAACCAAATAAATGATGTTTTGGTTGGAGATAGTTTTAAAGTGATACTATTAAGATAAATTATACAGAAATATCTTTTGTTGAAATTGTTGGTAATATTATGAACAGTATAAACAATGTTACAAAAAAAATGACCTTTAACTTTAAGCCATGTGATAATAATAGTATAATCATATTTTTTATGTTAATAAAGATATAAATAGACTTTTTTTGTTATCTTTTTCTATTAGGTCTAGGTTCTTCCACTCCAAATGCCAATGAAAGTACTGACTGGCGTCAAGCATTACGTCAATGGAACTACTGTTGCCGTCTGGCTCGCTATCTTCTTGATGAGGGTCTATTGGATAGACATGATTTTCTGACTTGGATCATTGAATTACTTGATAAAAGGGCTCCTGATGATGGACTTCTGAGGTAATATTTACATTATAATAGAGTATAACTCGAGATTATGAGAAATAATTATTTAAATGATGTTGTAGAAACTGTTTTTAATATGAGAAATTGAATGTTTAGTTCAAGATTTCTACCAAAAATTCTAATAAGAAAAAATAATACTTCTACAATTTAAGAATATCTACAAATTAAAAAATATATACAATTTAAGAATATATATGACTTCTTGAACCTGATTTTTATTTATTTAATTGTTTAGGCAGTTTAAAAGATATAACTGTACATCATAATATATGTAATGATAAGAAGATATTTAAAGATTTGATGCATTAGCATCTTATTAGATTTTTCATTATGTTCTGAACAGGTTTTCAAAGCCTTTAATTAAAATCATGTTAAATTACGATGCAGTAATATAATTTTGTATACAATTCTAGGTTATTCCTGCCTTTAGCGTTGCAACATATAAGTGAGTTTGTGTGTTGTGAGGGTCTATCACGTCGGTTGGCGACGTCATGTGCAAAGAAAGCAGCAGCTATTTGTTCAGTGTTGTCCGATACTACATTGCGGGCACTTAACCAACCTGCTGTATTCAATAAGACCACAGACAAAAGTGGTAAGTTGAAATATTCACAACTATATAGTTATATGTTAAACAAAACAATATATCTTTCATATTATCCTCAGAAACTACTGGTGCGCCCTTATCACCGACGGCTGAGGCGAATGGTGATGTGAAACCAAATGTCTCCCAAATAAAGCGTTCTGCGACCCCAGCGGATCAAAACCAAGGAACACCTAATCCAAACCATTCATTGGGAACTCCCAATCCTAGCCATTCCCTAGGGACCCCTAATCCATTGGGCACTCCGAACCCTCAACAGCCAATGGATGTCCAAGTAAAGGAAGAAGCTAGTTCACCACCGAGGGATACTAAGACGACCTTAACAGCAGTTATAGCAGCTGCATTGAACCCCGTACAAGTTGGATTTGGAGAGATACTGAATTGTGCATACCACAGGGATGTCATCATACAGTTGGCAACAATTCTTCAGGTATGGGGTTTTTTATTGATATTTCATTAATTACAGCATGGATTCAGAAACTTGCGGTCGCTGAACCTAGAGGTTCCGTAGAAAAGTTGTCAGGTATTCATAAAAAATATTTAATATCTGTTTAAAATTAGTGTGTTGATTACTAATCATTTGAAATGGAGTTTCATAAAACAAAAAGTATAGTGTCAATGTTGCGTTTCCTTTAAAGTTTAGGAACATGTGGACTAAAGTTAAACATGATTTAACTAAAAGGAACAGTTCCTTGTTATAACTACAATGAATCTATACAAAGTCTATTTTCCATCTTTCAGTGAAATTTGTAGATGGTCACGTATATTTGTCAGAGTCTAGACGCTGACAAATTGGTTTGGGGGAAAAGAGTTATGCTTTAAAATTCAATAAGTTTGATTTTAAACGTATTTGGTACATGATGTTTGTATGGAAACAATAAAGTATTTTACAAATATCTTGCCTAAAATACGACTACATTCCGAGTAATTGGAGTGGTTTTAAAAGTATAACTCTTCACACCCAAACAAATTCTTACCGCCCAGACAAACGACAGCCCGTCTGTCAGTGATCACGGTTTGTGCAAAGTAGCTGAAAAGTTCGGAGTATGTAGTTTTTAAATATTAAAATAGGAGAAAGCTCCCGAAAATATTAGTTTCAATTAAAAACATATATTTTTTTTTCAGATAATCTGCATTGAGTGCCCAACGGCGCTAGTATGGTCTGGCTGTGGGTCATCTCTCCAAGGCTCTCCGTTGGATTTACTGCCGTTGCCGCCTTCCGCACTGCCCATGCCGCAGATGGACTCCACGCTATCACAAGAACATCGACGAATGGTACATACAAAAAACCTCATACTGACTCATAATCTACTTATCACTGCTAAAATTTTAACATGAAAAGAAATTTATATCCCTTTAGAACTACTTTG